AATGTATACATCGCGGGGTGTGATCTCCATATTTATCACTTCATATACAAATTCTATATCTTACTCTTAAATATATCATGCGATGATTATCATGCATCGCTCTTAAATAAAATTTTTATTGGGCGATGATTAATAATATCGCCTTATTATTTTACTGATTGATCATTGATAGTTTATATACAAATTTTCCCATAGTATAATACACGTAATCTCTTTTTCCTTTTTATTCCCACGATAAATAAAAATATTTTTTTTTCACCTTTATCATATTTTTTTTTATCCTTTCATCACATTATGGATAATGTATCTATTATTAATGAAGATAAAGAAGAAAATATTAATGTTTCTGATACTATTCAAGAAAATATCAATAACAATATTTCCGATACTATTCAAGAAGGTTTGGATAATGAACCCTCTCTTAAAATTGCCACTGAAAATATTAGTCTTGATACAACTTTTGCTTCTTGGGAAGAAGCTGAAATATTTCTTGAGGAATATGGGCGTCGTAATGGTTTCTCTATAAATAAGTATCGAATATCAAGAAATAAATCCAGTCAATTAATCACAAAAAGAACATTTACATGTGAGTTTGGTGGAAAGTTCAAGTCAAATAAAAAGGAAACTGGAAATCAACGAAATACCAGAACTAAAAAGCGTCAGTGCCCCTGGCACATAAATTTGACATTTCCAGAACATGCAACAAACATTACCATTAGTTTATTTGAAAATGAACACAATCATGAATTAAGATCAGATACTTGTGAATTTAATAGTAGATATAGAGAAATTTCAAAAGAAATAATGGATGAAATTGAAATAATGACTAAACATGCAAACCTTTCAATTACCGTACAACGCAATCTTTTAAAGGCACGATTTCCAAAAATTAATTACACAGACTCAGATTTGTCAAACGCCATACAAAGAATCAAGATTATCAGCCGTAGTAATATGCACAATGATGCATCTGATCTTCTTATAGGTCTTGTACAAAAAAAGCAAGAAAATCCTCATTTTTTTCTTAAATTTGAACTTGATGCTGATAATCGTCTTGTGCGGGTCTTCTGGATGACTCCTGAACAAATTATTCTTTGGATTAAATATCATGATGTAATTATTAATGACAACACAGCTAAAACAAATATGTACAATATGCCATTAAGTTTATTTGTTGGTATAGATAATAATGGACGCACAAGATTACTTGCACAAGCTATTGTAAGTGACGAAACATTTGAAACATACCAGTGGATTTTGCAGTGTGCACTTTAAGCAACTGAAAAACAACCAATAGTATTCTTTACAGATGCAGATCCAGCAATGGATGCTGCAATTCCTCTTCAATTTCCAAACAGTTATCATGCACATTGTATATATCCTGTCTCTTATACACATCAAGATGTGTATAAGAGACTCACATAAATCTTACGAAATTGTAAACTTACGTAATATTTTGAAATTTTTTGAAATATTATGCCATAAACTTTCGTAAACTTACAAAATCGTAAACTTACGCAATTTTTCGCGCTATAAAATTTCCTGATGTAGTTCTTCCCATCAATAAAGTAAAATTGCCTGCCCAAACCTCTCCAAAATTTTATGATTAGTTTCTCCAAGATTTTACTATAGTTTTATTATAGTTTCGGCAAGGTTTTAGCAGTTTTGGCATTTATAATAAGTTTTGTCAGGTTTCACTTTTCTTCAGAGTTTTGCCAACTTTTTAATAAGACTTTCATATAGTTTTGGCAAAGTTTCACTATTTCAGCATTTTGCCAACTTGCCAAAACCTATTAGTTTCTCCAGCAACCTTACAATAAAGTCCAAGTGGTTTCCTCTTCCCAAACTACCTCAACAACTGTTGAAACTGTTGCGTCTCTATTCATGCTCTTTTCACCATTGCTGGTAAGGTTCCGTTGTGCATTGTAAATTTTTCCTTCGGAAATACTATTACATCGCCATGGTGCAATTCAGCACCACTGATCTGATCGGCCAATTTGATGACACATGGGCTATCCTATGTCTTGGTAATTACCTGCGCGTCTGTCCAGCTACTTATTCAAAGCCCAACGTGATGTCTGAAGGCAATATGTAGCAGTTTTAGCTGGTATTTCTAAGAACATCAAAGAAGCTGATTTAACTGATATTTTTCGCTAAGGCGATCAACATTCCACTATTTTTCACCTCCTACAAACCTAAACCTATGTGTATATAAATTTTTACTCACAAGCCACACTTGATTCGGCCCTCGAATTGACCATTTCCTTCAAGAATCGTGGACTCACCTGGTATTCCTCTAACCAAGTTAAGGATCTTTACCATGTATATGGCCGTAAGGGCTGTACACCCTTCCAATGCTCTCCTCGCCTTCCAGTAAATCCTCTGCCCAACTTGATTAGTTATATTTCTGCTTTAAAACTGGCCCACAATGAGGCCGTGCTGCTGCTCATTCTTCCTGTCAATTAGAGATCCTGGGCGAAACTGAAATATTTAGTCATTTGACTAAACTGAAATAGTTTAAACATTTAAAATTAAAAGACGAAATGCTGAAATTCAATATTCCATAGTATTTCCATAGATTTTTTATAGATTTCCATGGATTTTTAATTATAATAATTGCTTATAAAAAAAAAATAATAAATTTATATTAAAATATAAGAATTAATGTATACATCGCGGGGTGTGATCTCCATATTTATCACTTCATATACAAATTCTATATCTTACTCTTAAATATATTATGCGATGATTATCATGCATCGCTCTTAAATAAAATTTTTATTGGGCGATGATTAATAATATCGCCTTATTATTTTACTGATTGATCATTGATAGTTTATATACATATTTTCCCATAGTATAATACACGTAATCTCTTTTTCCTTTTATTCCCATGATAAATAAAAATACCTTTATCATATTTTTTTTTTCCTTTCATCACATTATGGATAATGTATCTATTATTAATGAAGATAAAGAAGAAAATATTAATGTTTCTGATACTATTCAAGAAAATATTAATAACAATATTTCTGATACTATTCAAAAAGGTTTGGATAATGAACCTCTCTTAAAATTGCCACTGAAAATATTAGTCTTGATACTACTTTTGCTTCTTGGGAAGAAGCTGAAATATTTCTTGAGTAATATGGGTGTCTTAATGGTTTCTCTATAAATAAGTATCGAATATCAAGAAATAAATCCAGTCAATTAATCACAAAAAGAACATTTACATGTGAGTTTGGTGGAAAGTTCAAGTCAAATAAAAAGGAAACTGGAAATCAACGAAATACCAGAACTAAAAAGCGTCAGTGCCCCTGGTACATAAATTTGACATTTCCATAACATGCAACAAACATTACTATTAGTTTATTTGAAAATGAACACAATCATGAATTAAGATCAGATACTTGTGAATTTAATAGTAGATATAGAGAAATTTCAAAAGAAATAATGGATAAAATTGAAATAATGACTAAACATGCAAACCTTTCAATTACCGTACAACACAATCTTTTAAAGGCACGATTTCCAAAAATTAATTACACAGACTCAGATTTGTCAAACGCCATACAAAGAATCAAGATTATCAGCCGTAGTAATATGCACAATGATGCATCTGATCTTCTTATAGGTCTTGTACAAAAAAAGCAAGAAAATCCTCATTTTTTTCTTAAATTTGAACTTGATGCTGATAATCGTCTTGTGCGGGTCTTTTGGATGACTCCTGAACAAATTATTCTTTGGATTAAATATCATGATGTAATTATTAATGACAACACAGCTAAAACAAATATGTACAATATGCCATTAAGTTTATTTGTTGGTATAGATAATAATGGACGCACAAGATTACTTGCACAAGCTATTGTAAGTGACGAAACATTTGAAACATACCAGTGGATTTTGCAGTGTGCACTTTAAGCAACTGAAAAACAACCAATAGTATTCTTTACAGATGCAGATCCAGCAATGGATGCTGCAATTCCTCTTCAATTTCCAAACAGTTATCATGCACATTGTATATATCATATTGCCCAAAATTTGCCAAAAAATTTGAAAGCAAAACTAGGAAGTTTGTATAATAGTTTCATTGAAAAGTTTTATAAATGTCGCAATCTCTGTGAACCTTTATTTTTTTCACGATGGACTAGTTTGTTAGAAAATTTTCCATTAGCTAAAGATTATCTTCTTAGAGTATTATGGCCATCAAATAAATCATGGGCACGCTGTTATTTGAAACAAATATTTACAGCTGGCATTGAAAGTACTTCCCGAGTTGAAGGAATGAATGCAATCATTAAAAAAACTGTTAGAAGTAATTCCACTTTGTGTCAACTTGTTGATCAATTATTTGAACAACTTATTTCAGAAATTCAATGGGAAAGATTTCATGAATATTGATCTTCAACTACTAGTTCAATTTCAGTATCAATAGGAGAAGATCTTTTTCCATCTGTAATTAAGATAATGGAAAAGTATTTATGTATAAATACTATAACTGCTATTAAAGTAGAAATGGCACAATGTCTATATCTCCAAGCAACTATCATTTTATTTTCAGGACTGGATTTTACTCAAGAACAGGTAATTATTTATCGTAAATTAGAGGGTTAGGGTTAGGGTTAGGTTAGGGTACGGGATTAGGGTATGGCATTAGGGTTAGTGGCATTAGGGTTAGGTTAGGGTATGGGATTAGGGTGTGTTATTAGTGTTAGGATTATGGGTTAGAGGTTTGATAGATAAATAAGAATTCATGATTAAGTATCATACTAATTGTAACATTTATTTTATTGTTAGGAAATAGAAGCTTTTTATTGAATATTCTTATGACGCACAGCAAATTACTTTACAGTCAATTATTGATGAAATTGGTAAAGAAGATATAAAAGAAATCTGGAAATTTTGTGATATTCGTCCTGGTAAAAAAGATCATATGCATTATATTGTAATTTCCAATTAAATTTCGTTTATATGTACATGTTTAACCACAATATCAAGGGGTATAATTTGCCGTCATTATTTTCGCGTAATGATGTTTTCAAAAGTTGCTGGTTTTCATATTTCAATGATTCCAGAAAGATGGTATCAAGATGTTTATCAAGGAAAACCATTGACGCAGGAAACTGGATTAATTTTTCTTCATGAAAATGAAAACCTGGAAAATAATACTAATAATGATTTAGAAATAAGGATTCCAACTCGTAAAGCTATTACCATTCCAAAAACTGTACCTATAATGAAGAAAGCTATTGAAAAAAGAAAAAAGTATGGTAAATTGTGGGGTATGGCTTGTGAAGCTACTTTACTTGCACTTGAATCTAATGATAACGAAATGGAACTTATATTACAAGATTATATCAATAAAAAGAAGCGAAACTATGAAATGATTTCAGAAAGCAATACAGAAATTGAAATGGAACAAAATCATATTAATGAATCAACCAATATAAGTAATGAATTTCAAGAACTTGGAAATATTCAAAATCCACTAAAAGCTAAAACTAAAGGCCGTCCTCCAACAAAAAGATATAGAAGTAGTATTGAGCATGAAAAGGGAGAAAGTAGTAAAAGTGGTTGTTCAAGCCGAAATACATATAAATGTTGTATATGTGGACAGTGCGGTCACAATGCAGCATATCATAAGAATGACAAACTTAAAGAACACCAACAATAAATATTGTATGTAATTTGTAATTACTTTTTATTGTAGAATGTAAAATATAATATAAATTTAATAAAGTGACATATTTATGTATCGCATGTAATGAAAATTATTTATTTTTCCCAAAATATAATATTTTTTAAAGAAATTTATAAAACTATTTTATGTATAATATAATTTAATATATTTTTATAATAAAATTATAATTTTATATAAATAAAATTTAAACTTAAAAAATATCAATATATAGTTTAGTCAATGACGAAACCGAAACTAGTTGGTGACGAAACTCAAATTTTTGGCAAAAAGAGTTTAGCCAGGTATCACTACTGTCAATCATCTTCATGATCACGTTTCTGTTTCACCAGCGACCCTCCTGTCCTACTCATGGCTCTGAAAGAAACACTCAATTCACTTGAGAATACCCTTCTGATCCTACTTCCTCGAATAATCCGTCAATGACCCATGATCAACTGTCTCAGATTTCTGGTCAGCCCGTTATTTCTCCACCCTCTCAGCAAGGTTCAAGTATTTTGCCTGAAGATGTGGCTGCTCTCCGACAACAAATTCTCGACCTGTCAATTATGATTCGTGACCTAGATGCCAGGGTAGATTGGTTTTCTACTCAGCTTGTGGATCATAGTTTTCGTATTGAGAAATTAGAAGCAGCTGTTTTCTTTTATGAATCTGCATGTGCATATCCTAATTCCTACAACGAATCCTAGGATAATCAGGATTATTCTTCCTAGTACCAACCGGACTTATGGTATGAATCGCATGAAGATATGAACAATTGGGACAATCCTAGCTCTGCTCCCCCACCTGAACAACAATCATCTTTACCAAATGTGCTTATGCATCTCTCTCCTGACACATCCTTTTCTTACGATGAAAATTCAACCATCCTTCCTTTTCGACACGTACCGTTCCTATATCAACTGTTTTGCAACTCAAACGTGCCTCTAATCCTTCTCAGCCTATTGATTTCAACAAAGAACTTGTTTCTATTACTTCTACACAGCAAAATATACACGCTTAACTTGGTTTTATCTTAACTAGGCTTGACAGTTTATCTGGTTTATCTCCCCCAGTTACAGCAGCATTGGCCAATAATAACATTACTCCCTTCTTCCCCGCTGTTTAACAGTTGGGTGGTGGGAATTAATTCTTGATGCTATATAACTATTTTAATGAGTGACAACACTCGTAACAGGGTACAGCAGGACCCTATTCCTGCTGATAGTTCAGATCGTATTAATTTTTATAATAATTCTTCCTCTTCTTTTCCATTTCATATTTCTCCTTCTGCTCATTCTACTGATTTATTTTCATCAAATATTTTACAGTTGGAATCCCTTAATGTTCGTTCTTTAGTTAGCTCAACCAAACAATTAGATTTGTTTTCAATCCTTTTATCCCATGCTTTGCATGGTATTATTTTAACTGAAACTAATTTATGTTTCCCTGCTCATCATTACATTTGTGACACTTATTTAACTTCCTATAATTTTCTTCCTAGTTTACACATTCTTCTACTACCAATCACCATTCTGGTGTTGGTGTTATTCTTCATTCTTCTCTTGCTATGTACATAGTCAAAAAGAAATTTTTTAGCGATAGATTGATTGGTTTAACCCTCCAGCTCCCAGGAAAATGTAATGTTTTACTTATTGGCGGGTATATTCCTCCCATCAGTTCTTTGAATCAATCAACTATCGCTGACTGTCATTCCACTCTCATTTCATGGATTCGCTCTGCCCAATCTTCTAATCATAATGTTCTTCTTGGTGGTTATCTTAATGCGGATTTTGATTCCTTCCTGACGTAATTATCAGCTAATCAGCCTGGCTCATCTCCCTTGAACCCTTTATTCAAAATGCTCTATGAACAACAATTCAATGATCTATGTGAAATTGATCGTTCCTTGCTTCTCCCATCCCTTACTTTTCGGTCTACCAGTTCTGGCTCTTTATCCTGGCTTGATTATATCTGGATCTCTCCTTCTTTTTCCATTCCACATCTCTGGTCTTCAGTTTCGGATTTGACGGATATTTTCTCTACTGATCACTTTTTAATTACAGCACATTTTGATTTTCTTGCATTTAGAGAACAACATGTGCCTAGTTTATACAGTAAGTTATTCTGCTAACTCTAGACAAAAGGATACTTTTACTTCAGAAGTTTTTTCTTTATTATCTGATACGTTTTCCTTTCCTTATACCTCAACTTTGAACCAAATTTAGCACCAGTTCAAGACTGCCTTGTTATCTGCCGGTCATTCTCATTTTTTAAAGAAAACTATCTTTTTGATGAAACTCAAGACTATTCCTCATGAGTTGCAGCCCTATATCCATCTGAGTTATAGTCTTGACCATTTTATTATGTCCTTACGGAAATTGACATCCATTTCCAGGTTAACTACTTCATGGTCTCGTTTCTTCAAAAATTATTTCCCAATCATTCCGGTCTTCTCAATAGTCTCTCACATCCATTACAATTGCCTATAATTTTCAATTCCTCAAATCGCATTCTTGGTTCAATTCCACAAATCTTTACAGAAGTTAAAGCAGTTCCTTTCAGCCAGCAATACCTTGGAATTTGATAAATTGAAGACTACTTCCATGAAATCAGCTATTTTAGAAAGAAACATTAATTTCTATGAAAACAAAGGCAAATTTATCTCCAGCTCTTTAAACTGAAAAAGATGATGTATTATTTTTGATCGAGTCCTTATTGTAGATGTTCCTGATGGTCTTAGACTTTTGGTCGCTCCTGAGGAAATAAAAGATGCTGTTATCTCACATTTTCAAAATATTGTTGGTCCTTCTGTTTCTCTATTTGATTCTCTTTCCTCTCTTCCTCCGCGATGGCAAAAAAGATACTCTCCATTAGAACAGTTTTCTGAATCTTTATATGACTCTGTAATGTCACATATTTCTATTTCAGAACTGCGTGAAGTTATTTCAGCCTCCCCTGCGCATAAAGCTTCTGGTCCTTCTTCCATTCCTTATGAATGGTTCAAATTGCTTTCTGATACTTCTCTTCAGTTCTTGTGTGAGCTTATGAATCGATGCCTTGACCTTTCTGACATCCCTGAAGACTGGCGTTCCGCCTCTATTACTCCTATTCTGAAATCTCATGAATTTGATGCCCTACTGAAAAATACTCGGCCTATTACCCTATTGGAAACTGCTCAGAAATTATTAGTTAAGATTATCAATAATTAACTTTCCAACATCCTTTCCTTACATCATGTATTACAAGGCAACAACTTTGCTAGTTTACCTAGCTCCTCCGTAAATACTCTGATTAATGTATTAGATGGTATCGTTAACCTTATAAAAAATATATATACGGTTAGTATACTGTATTTTCATATTTTGCGAACAGTATATTTATAGTATTATTACTGTATAATTACAGTATTTTCACATACTGTATATATTCGGTATTATGCACACTGTATCATATATACGGTTTGTGTACAGTATATTTTTCCAGTTTCACCTGTATATTTTATACTTGTAAACAGTAGAAAACCCGTATGTTTTATACTAATAAACAGTATATTGTTTTATATTTTATATTGCGAACAGTATACTTTTCCAGGATAAACCATATATTTTATACTGATAAACAGTACTTTTTTCCAGTTTAAACTGCATATTTTGTACTGATAAATAGTATATATAATTCAATTAAATCGTATATTTTATATTTGCAAACAGAATTTAAAATGCATTTATAATCAATAAAATTTTTATTAAATAATATTAAATATACAAATATTTTTT